AAAAATGATAATTTCTCTAACCTGCAGTTAAAAAAATGGAGTTACTTTTATTTAAAGCAAACAAAAAACTTCTCAATGAAGATAAATACCTTAAATTGAAAGACTCTTTGAATAACTGGAGTGTATTTTTAAAGTTTCACAAAATATATTATGGGGGGAATTTTTTTCTTTAAATTTTAAAATTTATTTTTGTTTTATATGTGTGAGTATTTTGCCTGCATGGATGTAAGTGTACCTGTGTCATGCAATGCCCACAGAGGACAGAAGAGGGCATCGGATCCCTTGGAACTAAAGACAGGGAGTTGTTAGCTGCCATGTGGGTTCTGGAAACTGAACCCAAAGCCTTTGCAAATGCAGCCAGTGTTTTTAACCACCTGTTTCTGCCTCCTAAGTGCTGGGATTAAAGGCATGAGCCATAATGACTAGCTCCCAAGGGATCTGTTTTTAACACATGAGTTTTAAAGCCAAAGAATATGTGAACTGTATTACCTAGGTATAATTGATTGTTTTCTTTTTACTTTTAATTAAAATATTTCTTTTGAGAGTATGGTATGGCAAATACATAGTTTTAAATCTATTTTGCTTTAAATAATTTTAATAGATGTGGTACAGTTCCTGTTCAAATAGGTCTTTTTCCTTTTTTCTAAGATTCATTTACTTCTCTTTGTGTGTGTGTGTGTGTGTGTGTGTGTGTGTGTGTGTGCGCCTACATGTATGGATGTGCACTATGTGCTGTCCTGGTGTCTGCAGAGGCCAGAAGAGGGCATGGGATCCCCTGGAACTGAAGTTAAGAGTGAGTTGTTCTGAGCGGCCATATAGGTACTGGGACCTGACCCCAGTTCTCTGTAAGAGTAACAAGTGTTCTTATTCACTGAGCCAATCTTGAGCCCCTTCCATTTTTTTAGTTAAATAAACACTTTGTAAATATTTTCATTTGGAAGGCTGATTATTTTTCAAGAAGCAGCTCAGAAGGAAGCAGAAGGGTGCCAAGAGCTGCCTGCTCCGTGTTTCCACTTCGGCTAGGGTAGGATTGACAATTTTGTTACAGTCTTGCTGGTTTAAGCTTCCACTTCCAAAATGACTTGTTTCTTATTAAACTTAACAAGGTGTTTTCAAAGTTATAAAATTCACATTAAAAACCGTTGGTGCTGGTCCTGCTATTCAGAGGTGGGAGTAAAGAAACAGAAAGAAAATACAGCGGTGAGACAGAGAGGCCAGGGAGGGAGGGAGAAAGAGGAGAGAGGATAGGGGAGGGCTGGAGAAAGAGAAACAGAGGAGAGGGAAGGAAGGAGAGGGAGAGGCACAGAGAGAGAGAGGGGGAGAAAGGAAGGGAGGGTAGAGGGAGAGAGAGGAGAGGCAGAGGGGGGCAGGAGAGAGGGAGGGGGGAGAAAGGGAGGGAGGGAGGGAGGAAAGGAAGAAAGGGAGAGACAGAGAGAGGGTTGAGAGAGTTTCACAATGACATTTTTATTAGATTTCTAAACCTCAGTGAATCCTCAATACAAAAATCCTTCCTCTCTCCCATGCACTAGGATAAGGATTAAGGATTCTGGGGACTGAAATCTCTTTTCCTTAAAATGTTCCAGGCAGGATCCTCATCTTCCCATTTCTTTGACTCACGTGCACATTTTTGATTAGTTGTACTGGAAGCTAAGAAACAAAATCATGGATTTCTTTATACTTTGCCTCTGTTATTATGTATGATGTTATTTTGGAAATGCATATTATGTTCAAAAATAGAATTTGCATTATTCTGAGACATTTCATGATCTTTAAAAATATGGTGCCTTAAAGTGTTTCTCAAAGAAACAGTAACTTGTTTCCTAACCTCTAGAATATACTATATCTGCAACTGCAGCCCAGTTTCCCAGGATGTCAGGACTACTTTTCCTTCTATAAGTCATAAATGCCAGGAGATAAAGGAACTGGATTTATAGTTGCAGAATCCCCACTTTGGAAAAGTACATTCATTCTGCTTATAGAAAAGAAAATAGAAAGAACAAAGTGATATCAGAGCACTTAGAAATGAAATGGAAACCTCACACTGAATTTTAGGGATTGCAAAAAAAAAAAAAAACAAAAAACCTCTTTTTCACTGCAGCTAAGAAGAATGAACCCAAACATACTTGAGGGTTGCTTCATTATTTCCTGGAAATTGCTCATGTTGGAGTGTGTGTGTTTACACTTTCCCATGCCTCTTTGGTTTTCCTACGCATGTGCATATTTCTTGGTGACTGGCCATATGACAATTTTCCCCCTATATGTGTCTCTGTAAGGCATATTTAGAAATAAAACAATGCCAGGTTTGAGATGGACTCATTATCTCCAGAACGTATCACTAAAACCATGCGCATAAATAGTCTGCTGTGTTTAGATCATATTATCAAATATAGAAAAGGATTTCTCTTGGCCAGGCTAAGAATCTTCTTTTGTGTTTTTCCCCTGAGTTTTGTCTAACAACTGCAGATATGAAGACCACATAGCTATTAACAACATAAATGCTCTGAAAATAACTTAATTTTGAAACATAACTCCAGTTCTTAGAAGAGACAGGTGGTGGCAATCATTTGAATTTTGATAAAATAAAAGTGAGTAAGGAAAGCTGTAATTAAAAAACCCCAAGAGCATATTTCATGCTAGATGCTATCTAAAGAAAACCAATATCACATTAAGTGCTGTTAAATTTTTCATGGTCCAACAAAGCACTTTACTTGTCCATTTAATTAGCAGCAAATTCAATAAAATGACAAATCTCTGGAGAGTTGATTGCCAAAGAAAGGCTTAAATCATGAGCATAGTCACTAGCATTTTTAGGAGCCCATTTGCCTTTAATAATACATTTGAGAGGCTGGAGAGATGGCTCAGTGATTTAGGGTATGTACTGCTCTTACAGAAGACCAGTGTTAGGTTCCCAGCACCCACACTGAGTGGCTCATGATCAGTTGTAACTCCAACTCAGGGAATCCCACATCGTCTTCTGACCTCCAAGGCTTCTGCACTCATGTGCACACACATACACATATTTGAAAATAAAAATAAATAAAGAGAATACAATTGAGAGCATTTTATTACCAATATTACATCCTTAGTACTAGCCATACCTGTATACAAATTCAGATGGCTGCACGTACATCAGGGGTGAAGGGTCTATTGTTAATGACTCATCTAGTATAAGGTTTGGGTGATCAAGTACAGTATCAGACCTGCTGTAACATCGAGGTGGCCACTAGAAGAAATGGGACATTTTGTCACTGCTTGGTGGTTGGCTTGACTGCATGTAGAGACTTGCTAATGCTGTATCATGACCCAGATGAAAAGAGATGGGTAAGCAAGTGGTAGGTATGTGACTACTGACTAGGAAATGTTTAAATATTCTGTTTAGAAAGAAATGAAAAAGTATTAAAATACCTATTTGAGATGGTTTTCTTTCACTTTAATTACTACAACCTATTTCTTGATCTGGGCTGTGTAGAAGAATGTCCTTACTGCAGTCACAACTCAGTTGTGACTTTGTGGAAAACGAAGATAGAAATAAAACTCAACAATGTGTTTTCTTTTCAAGATATTTTTTTCTCTCAAGACTTTTTTTTCCATATCAAAAGAACTGCAAGTGTTCTTGAGGGTCCTGAAGAATGTGATCAAGTCTTCCTTCACAGGGAAGGGTTTTGCAGGAAAAGAACTTGCCAAAGGATGAACCCCTGAACCATTCAATGTAGTGTAACAAGAGGGTCAGAAATTGACCCCGGCCAGGAGTCCACCTAGCTACTTTTACATGGCAACAGCAGCCTCTAGAGGTAATCAGGAAGAATCTGTGTCTTTGTTAAGAACGAGCCTGACTTGATTTTCACAGGTATCATTCATTAGAGGGAAGAAAGCAATTCAGTGTATAGAATGAAATGGGATTTACCCAGTTGGGGAACTGATTGAAACATGTACCCGAACATGATTGAAACATGACATGTATTCATGTCAGCCTTCATGATCCCCCACCCCGTGCCTGTGTGTGTCCTGTGCAGCTCCACATGCCTGCATGAGACATGCTATCAAACACATGCTCTCATGTTGGCCTGATTGAAAAGTGTACTTTGCACATTTATTGTGTCAGTGTTTGAATGAGCCAGTTTTGTATTTTCGGGAGTATTGTCGAGAAAATTTGGCATGTTCTAAATTAACGGCAAAGTTGCAAAAATACAAAATTTACAGGTCTTTTCCAAGATTTCAGTTCAAAGGTAATTTGTTTGCTAGTTTGCCATGAATATTTGCCTTGACTGAGGGTTACTGATGAACACGAAGAAATTATACTTCTTTAATTTCTAAAACATATCTTTAACTTCTAAATGATATGGTTATATTTTAATATACTTGACATTTTGATATTTTCTTTTTTTATTTTAAAAAATGTATTGAGAATTTCATGCATTCATATAAGATGTTTAGATGAAATCCACGCTCACACCCTCCCCTCCAATTCCTCCTATATCGCCCCATCACTTTTTTTCTGACAACTTCATGTACTCTTTCTTTTTTATGGCTTTTTTTTGCTACTTTCATATTTCCCCCCTCTGGAGAGGTAACCCTAAAATCTTTTAGGGATTATATGTTTTCTTTATTGAAATCGAGGATTATACTGCAAACAGAAAGGTTGTGTGTGGTCTGAGCATTCTCTATTGTTTATTATAAGATACATGAACAATAACCCTCAAAACCTGCTTTTCCCCCTTGACTATGCTCTTTGTTCTGATCAGTACCACTTATTTATCCTTTCATGAAATGTACTGTTAATAATCATGTAAGTTATTCTCAGTTATATAAGTTATTTTGGTTCTCTCTGTGGAAGACATACAGAATTCTCAGGGATACCATGAAGGATCTGCTGTGTAAATGTTTACTCTAGGGACCTACCCAGTAAACTCACATTTGAACCGTTTCCACCCCCTGCATTGCTAAGCCTGCTGTCCTCCTATGAGTCTAGTCATCCTTCTGTTCTTTCCTCTTCACTGCAGAACCTCGATGCCCTGCACGACCACCTGGCTACCATCTACCCGGGGATGCGTGCACCTTCCTTCAGGTGCACAGATGCAGAGAAGGGCAAAGGGCTCATTCTGCACTACTACTCTGAGAGGGAGGGGCTGCAGGACATTGTCATCGGGATTATCAAGACTGTCGCTCAACAGATACACGGCACTGAAATAGACATGAAGGTAACGTCCACCAATGGACATTAGAATGCAAGTGACATCAGGAGTGTGTTAAATGATACTCATAGTGATTGCCTCAAATTGGCTTCACTAGAAGTATACCCAAGCTGAGATGCTGTAAACTCTGGCTCTCTACTTGGCCTTGGAACACATTCTGTAGCATATTTGCCCCCTTGTAACAACAGGTTTTTCTAATTATACATTGCTTAAGGCAAAGGAATTTTAATTCTCATCCCCTGTGAACACAAACCAGCTGGAACTGTGGGTTTCAGCATGCAAGATATTATAATGTAGATAGATGTGAAGAGCACATAAAATTAGCTGATTTCACAGATCATTTTTTTTTTTTTTTTGCATAGTTGGAATCATTCCGTCAACTAAAAGTTTGGCTTTAAATCAAGTTGCTGTAGTGAATATAGCGAGGCCAGGTCTGGTCTTTCCTGCTATTTTTGATAACATCCACTGTTAGTTTGAGTGGTAATTTCAAGGTAACAACACAGCAACCATACGATGAAGAAAATTGCCATTTTTTCTCTGACGCTGACCCAAGTAGCCTCTCCCAGTTAGCTGCTTTTTGTGTGCTTAACAAGTTCAGCCTCAGCTACCTGATCCAGTGATTTTAAGTTTGCACCATGGTGGAGACAGGGATATCTGTTTTTGGCTGTCTTTATGGAATTTCTAAAAGGCTATAGTTACTTATATACCACAATGATGTTCCAGTACACCTGAGAAGCTCAGAACTCTGACTTACGGTATTATAAAATGCAAAATTACAACATTTGAATTGATTAGACAGGTGTCCCATATCTGTAATCTAGCCATATCATATCAGATTTCATTGTTTCTTGGTGTTTAGGAGCTGGTGTTGTTTCTTACGTGGAACTTGGTGATTTGTAGATGCACCGTTTTTTTTTGTTTGTTTGTTTGTTTTTTTTTTTTTGTTTATAACTAAGAAGTGAGGCTGTGGGAGCCATGGATCTATCATATCCAAAATCATTTAAATATGAAAGTTTTAAACAGAGAAGACATGCATCCATGATTGGGAAGCTTGTTGGAATACAATCCAAATGGTACTTGCCGTACATGTCCAGCCTTTCCATCTTGACCCCAAACTAACATAGCATCTATCCAGAGTGATCCTATAAATATCAAAGGCTTGCTTCACATTACACTTACTGTTGATAAAACTGACTAGGAAACAGCTACATAGACTCTTCAGGAAGACAGATATTAGGTGGGGAGAGACGGAGCTTCAGAGAAAGGGTGAGGAACCAAAGCATTAGGGAGAACATGCCCTGGCTTAAGCTTCTCTGATAAAAAGAGAGAGAATAGAAGAAAAAGGAAATGTTATGCTTTTCAGAGTCAGAACTCAAAAAGGTGGGCAGACCTAACAGAGCCTCCTCAGTGACTACCCAGAGAGCAGGGGGTTCTCAGAAGGAAAATATACTATCTCAATGAAGAGATAATTATTCCTCCCATCTTTTTAGCATAGATTAAGGCAAATCAGCCTTCTTAAAGTGTCATCTCAACCTGGTGATTGACGAGCCCAACTGGATTCTTTCATTTTTTGTTTTTTTTTTAAAAAAATTTGTCTATTATTTTACTTTTATGAATATGAGTACATTGCCTGAATGTATATAAGTGCACCCCTGTCCTGCAGTGCCCATGGAGGTCAGAAAATGGCATCGGATCTCCTGGAACTGGAGTTATGGACGATTGTTAGCCTCCATGTGGGTGCTAGGATTTGAACCTGGGTCTTTTGCAAGACAGCCAGTGCTCTTAACCACTGAACCATCTCTCCAGCCCCAACTCTTATGTTTTGAGTAGCTTGCAATGTTAAGTCTCCATCCAGGCTAGAGAAATAGCTTTCCCTTCATGGAATTTAACAGAGCCCTCATCAAGACTATTGTCACATAATGGCACAAAGTTTTCAAATTCTGAATAAGAACACTAAGATTTAACCACTATAATAAATTCATATGAAGAAGAATGATATCCTTATTTTGTCATGGAAAAATGCATATAATAGTATCTGTGGTTTCTGTAAGTCATCAAGTCTCTGATGTACTGCAGTGAGCTCAAGAAGGGACAAATGAGCAAGAGGCTGTCTTCACTGACCTAGAAACTAGGAAATCTGGCTCAGTCTTTCCTTATTTGGATCTAACTACCATAGACACAAAATTTTTCCATTGATAAAAAGGCACACTGCTTTCTGTTTCTTAAAGTCAAAAGAAAAAATGTTTTAGTATTGTATTAGTCTGTGAATACTATTTTAGAAATGTAGGTATTTCCTAAAATTATGGCTTGCTCATAATTATGGTTACTTATTTACTTCGGTTTCTTGGATTTGGAATTTTGTCATTGAATAAATTAGAATAAAATAATAAAAAAAATGAGACAAGGTGTCATCATGTAGTCCTGCCTTCCTGGGAACTGGCTATATAGACCAGGCCAGGCTTGAATTCACCTGCCTCTGCTTCCTGAGTGCTAGGATTAAAGGGGCATGCCACTACACCCAGATAAATAATAAATTTTGAAATGTTTTAATGCATATTGTCAATTTATCCTTCAGAAAGATGAACCAGAATACCCTTCAATTAATGGTACTGGAGATTCTGTTTTTTGCCTCTCAGGACTTTACTCATATTAATTCCTTATACCTGCCAAGTGACAAATAAAAGTGATATCAATTATGTTTTGAAGAGGCTAGTAAGATGGCTCAGCAGTTAAGAACACTGGCTGCTCTTGCAGAGGACCTGGGTTTGGCGCTCAGCACTCACATGGTGGCTAACAACCATTTGTAACTTGAGTTCTGGGGCAACTGAAATGTTCTTCTGAACTCCATGGGCATTGCACACATGTGGGTGAACTTAAATACACACACACAGACAAAATACTCATACACAAAAAATAAAAATAGATAAAAAAGAAATTTAAGTATGTTTAAGATAAAAATAGATAAAAGGAAATTTAAATGTGTTTTAAAATATGCATCTGTGTCTTTTAACTTCTCATTCACTTCTTTGAGTGTTTTTGTTTTAATCACATGAATAGTGTTGCTGTCTGTAGTCTGTAGGCTGTGTGTTCACTGCACAGTTGCTGTGGGGATCTACCCACCAGGCTAAGGGATTGCTGTAGTCTACTCAAAAGGCCATATGTGCCAATGGGGAATTGATACCAGACTTGTAATTCATAGTTATATGTCAGTAATTATGGAACACAGTTGGTAGGATGCTTGCCTGGAAAGCACAAAGCCCTTGGCTTAATCCCCAGCACCACATAAACTGAGCATTGGAGGACATGCCCATGATCCCAGCACGTGGAAGGTAAAAGCAAGAGGCTCAGAAGTTCAAGGTCATCCTCAACTATATAGCCACCTGGAGGCCTGCCTAAAGTACATAAGACTATATCTCAAAAAACAATCATAGTGCCTGCACATTTCATAGTCAAATATCAAGGAATGTTTTTCTGCTTTACATATGTGTAGTGATTGCATATATTTTAATTTTTCTAATTACCCTCTTAAACATGGAGCTGGAACAATGGTTCAGCAGTTAAGAGCATGTGTTCTGCTCCCAGCACCCACATGGGGGCTAACAACTTCCATAACTCCAGTTCCAGGGGATCAGACACCCTCTTCTGACCTCCTATCAGGCATTGTATAACACAGGCACACTTACATACATGCAGTCAATACACTCGTACACACAAAATAAAAATAACAAATAAAATATTTTAAACATAATGCTCATAAACAGTCTCTTACATTTATATATTTTAATGAAACTGAAATACCAGCAAGTAACAGCATTTCCTCCTTTTGACATCCAGGTTATTCAGCAAAGAAATGAAGAATGTGATCATACTCAATTTTTAATTGAAGAGAAAGAGTCGAAAGAAGAGGATTTTTATGAAGATCTTGACAGATTTGAAGAAAATGGTACCCAGGAATCACGCATCAGCCCATACACCTTCTGCAAAGCTTTTCCTTTTCACATAATATTTGACCGGGATCTTGTGGTCACTCAATGTGGCAATGCCATCTATAGAGTGCTCCCCCAGGTAAAATACACAGCACCCTGCCCCCAGGCCTGACCCCTGGTTACAGGTACTATTCATTTGTTAACTGTCATGTAACAAGACATAGCACACAGATTTTTCATCAAAATGTTTGAGTATATTGGAAATTTCCTTAGGGCATCTGCTTGTTTCTTTTTTAATCACCTATAGGGACAGGAAGAAATTACATGAGAATGACAGGCATTCAGTGAGAAAGTGAGGGAATTTGCTAACTGCAACCAGTTTCCACTTATATTTTTTTTTGTTGAGTAAATATTCATCATTTAAATACCTTCCAAAAAGGGTTTTAAAAATCAGCTGTTGACAGGGGAAAGAAAGAAATTTAAAAGCACTCAGGATGAACTAGACAGAAGTTATCGTGGGTTTAGTGAAGAAGCATCAGGGGACCACAGAGCTTTAGAACCCAAGTGTTGTATTCCTGAGAATCATTTGAAAGCTCCTTCCTGTTTATGTACTCTTTCTTTGATCACGTATGTTTGGACTTGTTCATGACTCTTGTCTAGGGGAAATTTTAGCTTGTAGCTCAGGACTAGTCCACAGGGGTCTGGTGTAAAGCTGTAGCTCTGGAAGCAGACTTCTGTACTTGCTCCACGTGTTCCTGATGGTGTGACCTAAGTGTGTTATTCTGCTGGTTCCCTTCTGTCTGGCACAAGAAACCAGGGCACATGAAGACCCTTTAGTCCACTGCCTGGTCCATCATAAGCAGCTGGTATATGTTACCTACTTCTATTAATATTATCATCTCTCTTTTTACGAACTTTAAGAAGTGTTTGTGTGTTTTGATACACAGACATCTAACACATCATGCTGTAGTTTAGAAGATAAAATTCATTCTCCTGAAATGATTATTTTATTTGTATCAGCTTATATTTGAATGTTAGTTACCCAAATCCATACTAGGTTTTATATTCCAGCAGCTATTTGATTTTGACTTAATGACTGAGGTGCATGTAGCAAAATTTAAGTCCATAGTCAGAGTAAGCTTCATATACAACAATTAAGACTTTTCCATTTACAAATGTAATTGAACTGGCTTAATTTAGAGCTTGCTATCAAGTCATAAAGTTACTTTCAAGTAGCTAAGTGCTCTTTGCTCTTTACCTACAGCTCCAACCTGGGAACTGCAGCCTTCTGTCTGTCTTCTCACTGGTTCGTCCTCATATTGACATCAGTTTCCATGGGATCCTTTCTCACATCAATACCGTCTTTGTATTGAGAAGCAAGGTAACAAAGATCTCATTTCACTGACTGCAAGTAAGGTGTGTTGCCAGTTAGAAGTTATGAGGAGAGACAATTATCTCCTAGTACATTCTATAAGATGGAGATATCAAGATATCATAAGGAAATAAAACCCAGTCTCAAAAGAGATGCGTATTTAAAAGGCAATGCTGATTCTTCGTTTAGTGTGAGGAACATGAACCAGCTGATCAGAGTCAATGAAAACAAGTTTCACAAAGTGTCCTGCTGAGAACATCTCAGTCTCACATAATAAAACCAACTGAAATTACAAAGCCTTTAAAAAGAAACCAGAAGAACAGAGATCCTTGTTCCTTTATAACTTCACCAAAGCCACTGATTTATTCTTCAGTAAATTTATTATTCTTGGTAACATGTTTTTTGTAGAAAAATGAAGGGATTAAAAACTCCTACAGTTGATAATTTAGATGTTTTCCGGATTCCGTGGTTTGTGTTCCTGGGATAATCATAACAAATGCAATTTTCCCAAAGTACATGTCTCTCATCCATCCCCTACCTCTCGCAAAAGCCACAGTTACATGTATTTTATATGTTTGGAACAGACTGCTTTCAGCTGCTCTGTGAATATAGACTTAGCTTGGCTTTGTTTTGGTAAAACTCAGTTATATATGTTGAAGTCCTATTGAAAAACCAGGGGACAGGGCTGGAGAGATGGCTCAGCAGTTGAGAGCACTGACTGCTCTTGCAGAGGACCCAGGTTCAATTCCCAGCACCCACATGGTGGCTACAAACCGTCCTTAACTCCAGTTGCAGGGGAATCCAAAGCCCTCTTCTGACCTCCGCAGCATTGCATGACACGGGTGCACTCACATACATGCAGGTAGTATGCTCATACACATAAACAAACAAACAAATTAACAAACAAACAAATAAATATAATAAATAAATAGACTTTTTTTTAAAAAAAGAATAATCAGGGGACAAAACATTCAGAGAACCTTGCAACAAATGCATGAACGCAGTGCAGCTGCAGCCTTCTGGAAGGAGGACGCCCAGTGGCTTTTCAGAATGCTAAAGGACAGGTGTTGGGCTTCGTACCTGGTAGTATGCCCTCTCCATTTCTGATGGAGGCATTTCCTTCCCTTAATGTTGGCAAGAAGCGAGGTTGTGTGCTCACTGGTGCTGCTTCTCAGGCAGGAGAAAGGTAAGAGCTAACTGTTTCCTGTTTGTTGTTCAAGGAAGGATTGCTGGATGTAGAGAAGCTGGAATGTGAAGATGAGCTGACTGGGACTGAGATCAGCTGCTTACGTCTCAAGGGTCAAATGATCTACTTACCTGAAGCAGACAGCATCCTTTTCCTGTGCTCACCAAGGTAATAACTTTTAGATTAATTGTAGCCCATCAGGCTTACATTTGCTGAAGTATAATTAGATTTTCCAACCCTTGCTATGTATTTACTTATAATAAAAATTATATCATTGGACATTGCTAATAAATTCAGAAGTCACACTCACTTTATGCCATATCATAATCTGTCTGTGAGGTACTTATGCCATTAGATCATGGGATGAGTAGTCTGCAATGAACTAATTCTGCTATTTTTGTACTTTCAAAAGAAGCATCATGCAAAACAGCAATTTCGTAAAGCATGTGATATGATGATATAAATAATGAACTTTTCTATAGTTTGTTAGAAAAGATCATAAAAAGAAGCTGGCCGTGGTGATGCACAGCTTTATTCTCAGCAGAGGCCGGTGAATCTCTGTGAGTTGCAGGCCAAGAGTACAAAGCAAGTTCCAGGCCAGCCAGGGCTGCATAGAAAGAATCTGTCTTAAAAAGAAAGAAAAAAATTATTAAAAGATACATGATTTTTGGATTTGTACTACTTTATGTTAAAATATTTAATGACTTCATTAGGTTATATTATTCAAAATAATTATGAAAGTGAAATTTAGTTAAATATGTTGTTTGTAATTAATATCAGAGGTGACAAAGTTTGAGTTGGTGATTTCCAGCTTTAGAATTTTCCTAAAAGCTACAGAGGGATTCAGAATATGGAAATGTGTGTACATATATATTTGTTTAAGAGCAATAGTAAAAGATAAGTGTGAGACTTGTTACTGGATGTTTGTATATATGATTAATAGTAATTATGATTTATTTTCTGAGGAATATTTGTTATGCAAATAAGAGACAAAGCTAATGGGATATAAGGCATCTTCAAAGCTATCATCCAGGAGCCCCATGACTCCTCATCTGTCATTGGTGCTTCCTCTTCTTTTTCCTTGTTGGATGTCAGTAGAATGACAGGTTCACTTTCGGGAGAGTTTCTGTTCAAGGACAGAAAGATTTCTTTAGAGGAAGAAGGCTCTAGTTTGCTTTCTCTTGCTGTAATAAAACACTGACCAAAACCAGCTTAGGGAAGAGAGGATTTATTTCATCTTACATTTCCAGGTCACAGCCCATGAGTAAGGAAAGTCAACACAGGAACTGAAGCAGAAACAATGGAGAACTTCTGCTTACTGGCTCACTTCTCTCCCATTAAGCTACATTTTTATACATATAGTAGGACCACCTGCCTAGGGATGGTATCACCCACAGTGGGCTGGGCATTTCTTCATCAATTATCAGTCAAAAAATGCTCCACAAACATGTACACAGGCCAAAATAATGTGAACAATCCCCTGAGACTTTCTCAGATAAGTCTGGTCTGTATCAAGTGGAGAGCTGAAGCTCAGACAGAAGCAAAGCAAAAATTGTGGAGTGTGTTTGCCTGTTTCCATACATAGAAGTTGGTCCTGTAGTGAGACATTCACATTGTTGCATGATCTGTTCAAACGTGTAGAAAGATTTACAATAAAACAGAGATCAAGTAGAAATTGTGTTTGTAAAATAATTCTAGAGTGATTAATTTAAGAAATGTATAATAAGGAATCTTTTTTTGAGACAGGGTATTGTGTAGCCCAGGCTGATCTGAAACTTGGTATGTGGCCAAGAATGATGAACATCTGCTCTTCCTGCCTCTCCCTCCTGAAGACTCGCATTAGCAGGCATATGTCACCACACCCAGTTATGTGGTACTGAGGATTGAATCCAGGGCTTCATGCATGCTAGGCAAGCACTCTACACCCTGACCCCATAAGGGGCCCCATAAAGAATAAGATCCTTATAATTTCATTAAGTTTTCTACCACAATATAAATTATCTTTTGCTATTCATTTCATTCTTTAACTTTTATTGTTTGTTTTTTGACAATTTTATAAATGCATAAAACATTGTTCTAATTATTATAGCCCCACCAAAATCCCCCCCACCATTATCTCCCTTTCCTCTGTACAAGTCCTCTTCCCACATTAATGTCTTCAGTTGTCATTGTTTGCTTTGTTTTGTTTGAGAACCCCTGAGTTTAAACAGGATCTTCCTGCTGACCAAAGGTTTATCCTTTGGAGACTGATGTCCTCCATAGTGGGTACAAAACTGAAGCCAATAACTGCCATTCCCCCAGGATCCATCAGTAGCCCATAGTTCAGCGGGGAGGGGTAGGGGCCCATAGACTTCTCCCCAGACCATTACTTACTGCTGATAGCCCCAGTCTTGTATAGGCTCATTGCAGGCAGCCACAGCAGCTGTGAGGTCTGACTGCACTGGCTGTGCATTTCACAGCACTTCATAACCCTGCTGCCTATCTTCCAGTTCTTGCATTCTTTCTGCCCCTCTTTCAGGATGTTCCCTGAGCCTTAGAAGGCATAAATGTTCTGTTTAGAGTTGAGCATTCAGCCTTCCCTTATTCTGAGCACCTTGAGCTGCTATGCATCTCTGCATTCACCATATTTCATTATAAAGCGGAGCTTCTCTGATTAAAGCTGGTAGTAACATTTGTCTAGCATATAAACATGCATATTTAGAAATGAGCTTGGCACTAGGATAATTCCCTTAAGCAGTAGATTAAGTTCTCCCTCGGGGCCTAATATCTCCTCAGTCATGGTTTTTTGACTGAGTTTACAGCACCAGGTATTAATCCCTTCTTCTGGAGCAGGCCTCAAATCCAATCAGAAAGCAGTTGGTTATCCCTGTAACGGTTCTGCCACTATTGCACCACAGACTCCTCTTGCCTGGCAGGTCCATATTTCAGATCATAGGATTCACAGCTAGGTAAAACCATTGATGTGTTTTCTTGCCCAGCAACCTATACAGCACACTGGGACACTATAAAAGCTAGTCATCAGGGAGGAAGCTTCCAGCTCCATTTCAACTTGATTTCTCTACACCTTGCAACCAACGTGTGTGTTGTCTTCAGTAACTGAATCTTGTCAACTAGTTCTGGTGGATAACCAAGAGGAATGGCAAGAGCCTGTATTATTAGGGGACTGCAGAGGACCTCCCCGACCAATAGCTCAGACCAGAGTATCTCATACATGGCATTGGGGTTTTTGTTTCAATTTTAAGTTTATATTTTTTGTCATGTCTCATTGGTTGATCTTGTACCTTGTTTAAGTGTATTAGTGTTTTGCTTGCATGTATGTAAGTGCATCCATGTCATGCAACACCTGTGTAGGTCAGAAGAGGGCATCAGATCCCCTAGAAGTGAAAATATGGATGGTTGTTAGCTGCCATGTGCTGGGAACTGAACCTGGGTCCTCTGCAGGAGCAGCCAGTGTTCTTAACTGCTGAGCCATCTCTCCAGCCCCTATCCTTGATTTTTCAATTTTTTGTATATTGGCATGCTGACTTTGCTTTGACAGACATTTCTACTGAGAATAAATTCATGGGAACCTTTTCATGACCTGCAATTCCTTAGATATCATAGCCTAAATTTGTCACTTTTGAAATTTTATTATCCTGAATAACTAGAAGTTATTACTTTGCACTTTAAGAATTCAAACCAATAATATAACCTTAAGCTGTTTTAACTGAGTGATGGTTTTTAAACTGAACTCTTCCCTTACCAGAAATTCACTGAGTCAGTCAGCATTATAACATTATTACAAAAAATAAGGTTTAAGTTCATGAATGTCAAATAAGACTTTGAAAAATGAGAACAGTGAATCAGAAAAATAAGACTAGAAGAAGAAATGAGAGCAAGAAAAAACCCACAAGGTGGAAAGTCTTTTAAGTACATGAAAATGCTTGTTGAATACAATTGACAAATGGAAACTTATTCACTCTTTCCAGTGAGAAAAACAATCACAAGATTCTTAGAACCATAAGGCAGAAATGAGTTGGTATCTCAAAGGAAGCATTTTATTCCTGATACATGCATGGAAATGGATTTTTCTTTCTGTTTTATGATAAGGGAAAATACAACATTTTCAGAAAACAACCTTATATTAAAAACCCAAGGAGGTTCTGTAGGGCAGTTTCCTGTGTTATTTTTCAGTGCAGGCAAAGTGGTTCCGAAAAGTAGAACTTGACGAAAAGGCACTTCAGGTTCACTGCTTGCTGGCATGCTTTAAAATACATAAAAGAGCAAAGTCATCTTGGTTAAGATCTCCTGGGCTTTTCCTCAGCCTATCGTTTGAAGAGGAGGCAGAGGGTAGAAGGCAGCACTATGCTCCTTGCTGGGTGGCAGGGCTGGTCCTGCCATGTGTACAGGTGACACTGATTTGCTCATTACTCTGTGTGACAGTGTGATGAACCTGGATGACCTGACAAGGAGAGGCCTGTACCTGAGTGACATCCCTCTGCATGATGCCACGCGAGACCTTGTTCTTTTGGGAGAACAATTCAGGGAGGAATACAAACTGACACAAGAGCTGGAAATCCTCACTGACAGGCTACAGCTCACACTACGAGCCCTGGAGGATGAAAAGAAGAAGACAGACACGTAAGAGTCGGGTAAAAGAAGGGCTGATCTTTAATCACAATGCACTACTACTCTCCTATAGTTGCAGTTCATAGTCACATTAGGAAGGTGTGGGACTACTTGCATCTCTGACAACTATTTGGCCCTGTCTCTACATAGTTATTAAAAGCAGCAGCTTCCTGGTGTTCCTAATATGTTTTGCCCAGGTTCTTGTGTGTTCATTTTTTACTGTTTATAAAATAGGATGCTACAATACTGGAGAATTGAACTAAACTGTCTTGCTATCCATCAGGGCTATTCCAATCCACTTGAAGACCAGAAGATTGACAACTGTATCAAACCCTGCTCTTCCTTAGCATTGATGCATGTGTGTGGGTGGATGCTGTGCACACAAGTAAACACATTATTAGCTAACATTATTAATAACACAATTGAAATAGAGAATCCATTGTAAATGCCTATCTTTATCCATAGCTTCTCCACACGTCTGGTCTCTGAAACCTATGTTTATTTCCATTGAGACCACGTTACTTCCCCCATGGTCCTAAGGGCACCTAGATTAATCTGGCCACACACTTTGTAAATTTCACTGCTTGAAAACAATTCAGCATATATTTTTATCAATACAAGGCATAACTTCTTCCATGAAAAATTATACCTTTTTTAATGGAGTTTGAATGATGGCACTTAGGACTAAGATTCACTTCCGTATGGGTCAGTAAGTTCCACTTACTCAGTATTCAGCATTAGCTGTAATATCAGAAAAGAGCCTAGGTGTCATTTCTTCACTGTAGCTCCATATTTATAGTTGTTATTCAGCTTTCTGTTGCTATAAAACATAGCTTAGATAATAAAGTTAAAATAAGGAAAGTTTGTTTTGGCTCATAACTTTAGAGATTTTAGTCAATTCTCCCTTGACCCTGTTGCTTAGGGTAAAGAAGAATAAAATATCACAGTGGGATTATGTGGCAGAGGGTGCTGTTTATGTCATGGTGACTGGGAAGCTAAAGAGAGGGGAAGACTTCTGTGTCTCAATATGCACTTCAAGGGCGTGCGCCAATGACCTAACTTCCTCCCGCTGTTCCTCCCCCCTCTTAACAGTTCAACCACTTTGCAGTAAGAACCACAGGCTGAGGACTAAGGCATCAGCACATGTGCCTTTGGGAGATGTTTCAGGTCCAAACTATAACAGTAGGGAATAAATATCTAATATTACAAAGGATTCATATTTGAGGTATGGAAGTATCCAGATAGTCTATTTTCTGTATTAAAAATACTATTAATTAATTTTCCTCCTAAATTGTCAGTGCGAATATTCATTTCTCTCCCTAGTCTAGGGTTCCAGCCTTTGGAGTGGCAGAAATGTAGCCAGAGCCTGAGGCAATGTCAGTAAATGATAAACTTTCATCACTTAACCATTTCTTTGTATTGATTTTCCCAGGATTGATTTGACTTTTGAAAGCTGTTTGTACTGTTTAGGGACATTGTTCTTCAATAATTTTTATATAAAATTTATATGATTAGAGTTAGTAAGATGATTTCATCATAAGCCATTTAGTTTTCTCTAAAACTAACCAATTGTGCTCACATTTAATATTAAGCTGTAACTTTATATAGCATGAAGTGCTTTCTGTTTAGAAGTTAAAATTATCACTGAAGAAATTCCACTATGGCTAGGAGGAGCGTTTCATGTTTGAAATCTTCTCTTTGATTAAAAGAACGAGAAGGCCCCATTTCTTCTTCTTTCTTCAGACTAGGGGCCCAGAGGTCTTTGATTTTCTTTTAAATCTGTCATCTCTCTTCTTCCTCCAGTGCTGTGACCGTGGTCCAGTATTGCATGCAGATATGAAACATCTGTTCATCTGACCACATTCCATTGTTTTATCCATTTTTTTTCAGGTGGGGTAAGGTAGGAATGAGACTGGAAAGCAGTCCTGCCTCCTCTGCTATGACTTCGAAAAGTTTGAGATAATTTTTTTATTTCTGGAAGGTGAAAATATTTCTGTTAATGGATTACTCATTCAGTGTTTTAAGTGCTCATAAGGACAACTTCAAGACTGTCACTATCAACGCAAAACTACAAATGAAACCTTGGATTTTCTATTGTTGGTCTATTGTTATCACTGCCTATTTGTTTATTTGGCTTATTTTAAGTTTGAATTGGCTCAGGATTGGGGACATATGTGATTAGAATGAGAAAATCAAGTATGATTTTCTGTTTTATCTGTAGATAATATTTGATGCTGATTTTAGAGTGTGTCCTATGAGAATCCAATGCTATACAGGTGTAGAACTAAAGCATTAAAGACCTCCCCAGCATGTCTCACAGTGACTGTCTCCTAATCCCCACCAACAGATTGCTGTATTCTGTCCTTCCTCCATCTGTTGCCAATGAGCTGAGACACAAGCGTCCAGTACCTGCCAAAAGATATGACAATGTGACAATCCTCTTCAGTGGCATAGTGGGCTTCAACGCCTTCTGTAGCAAGCATGCATCTGGAGAAGGGGCCATGAAGATTGTTAACCTTCTCAATGACCTATACACCAGATTTGACACACTGACTGATTCACGGAAAAATCCTTTTGTTTATAAGGCAAGTCTTCATGGAGGCCTGCTGCAGTGCTGTGTAGACCCTGCGCTGTTGACGTTCCCTGACAGGAGCCTGTCACCACAGTACTGAGGCTGTAACTGCAGCACTGGCACGTGAGGTTCCTGTAGTCACTGTGGTGCCCACTGGTTTATATAATGACCTTCTTCTAAAGGAAATTTATTAAGATCTGGCATGGTGGAGCATGCCTTTAATCCCAGTATCCATGAGGCAGGGGCAGGCAGATCTCTGTGGGATTGAGGCCAGCTTGGTCTACATAGCAAGTTCCAGAGTTCCTAGGGCTAGAGGGAAACCCTGTCTTAAAACAACAACAACAAAAAAACCCACCAAAAAGTAAAAATTAAAATAGGAGAAATTTATTCTTCGACAATTTCATATGTGCATAATGCAGTCCAGTCCACTCTCCCCTTCTCACTTTTATTTCCCTCTCACCCCACTGACTCCCACTCCTCCTCACAAATCCCCTCCCACTTTTATGCATTTTTGTTTTGTTTGTTTTTGCTTTGTGACCCTCTGAGTTAATTTTTCTATTGATTGATTTTATTTTATACGTATGAGTGTTTTGCTTGCATGTAAGTGAATCTGTCATGCAATGCCTGCAGAGGCCAGAAGAGGACATTGGAGCCCCAGAACTGGAGTCACAGATGGTTGTTAGTCTCCATGTGGGTGCTGGTAGCTCAACCAGGGTCCTCTGGGAGAATAGCCAGTGCTCTTATCTGCTGAGCCATCTCTCCAGCCTCATGACCCACCGAGTTTAGCCAGGATATGGGTGTGGTGATATTTAATGGAGTACGAGCAACTCACCAGTGGCTATGAAGACAATGACCCCTTTTCCCCAGCACTCATCCCCTATCCATTACTGACCAGCCAAGTTGTGTGCAGGCCTTCTGCAGGCACCTAAAACTGCTGTGAGTTCATCAGTGCCACAGCTACGTCATTCCCAGAAGACAGAATTTCAAAGCCCTCATCCCCATTATCCGTGTCTTGCAATCTTTCTGTCCCTCCTCTGTGATGTTCTCTGACACTTGGATATGTAGATGTCCCAGTTAGGACTGTGCACTCAGTAGTTTACTTATTCTCAGTATCTTAGCCAGTTACAAGTCTTTGCATTACCCACCTTTGCTGAAAAAAAGAAATTTCTCTGATCAAGGCTGAGAGAGCACTAGTCTATGGGTAGAATCATAAATATTAAATATTTCCCATTTGTTAGGAAACTTCCTTTTCATTGCAGCCACAATGAAGGTTTTATGGAACAGATGCTAGCTAGTTGAAAAGAAATGTTCACCATTTTCTTTGCACTTAGGTTAATGAATCTTTGCAGGTTGTTTATTGAATTTAGTATAAACACAACTCTCATTTTGTGCTCAGCCAAAGACACTTTTACGAAAATATATAAATGCTTTGCACTGTAAGTCATGGAGCTTGAGAAAAGTCCCAGGACTCTGGTTTAGTTTTAGATACTATCAACTTTAAGATAAACATTTGAAAGATATTTTCTGTCCTTTGTTTTAAGTAGAAACAAATGTAATATTGGGAAAATGATGTGAATGGAATATTGCTTTATAAAGGCAAGAATGTTACTAACTATCTCTAGGCATCCAGGGCACATAACTTCACAGGACCATTCATTTTGTGGTCCTTTTTGAAGGTCAGAGTTATACTTGTTGAGGAAATCATTAAAATACAAGCCTAAGCTTATCTTACTTGGCCAGCTCCAGGCCAGTGAGAGACCCTGTTAAAAATATAAATAAATAAGGAAGGTATGCAGCATCTGAGGGGTGACAGTCAAGACCCCCTCACATACAAAACAAACACACACACACACCTGTGCAAAATGCCCACACACGTCCACACAAAGAAAGAAAGAAAAGAAAGAAAGAGAGAGAGAGAGAGAGAAGGAGGGAGGGAGGGAGGGGGAGAGAGAGAGAGAGAGAAAGAAAGAAAGAAAGAAAGAAAGAAAGAAAGAAAGAAAGAAAGAAAGAAAGAAAGAAAGAAAGCTATTGGCATGGTAAATCACTTTACTTCGGCCAGAAGCTCTGTGCTGTTGAACCATTAGTGCTTAAGGGGGAAATAAGGTAATGCCCAAGCATGAAGCCCCGAGTTTGGATTCCCAGCTCCCATGTCAAAGCAGTGAAAGTGTACATCTGTAACTCAGTGCTGGGAGAGTGGAGACAGGTGGAACTGGGGGTTTGCTATCCAGCCAGCCTAGCTGAAACAGTGGGCTCTAGAGATTCTGCCTCAAAAGAAGCCAGGCATGGTGGCACACGCCTTTAATCCCAGCACTCAGGAGGCAGAAGCAGGCAGATCTCTGTGAGTTCAAGGCCAGCCTGGTCTACATAGTGAGTTCCAGGACAGTTGGGGCTACAAGGAGACCCTGTCTCAAAAAGAATAACAACAACAACAACAAAAAAAAAACAACAAAATAAGGTAGCAGACTGAGGATGCAGCTCAGTGGCAGAGTGCTTGCCAAACATGCATGAGACCCTGGGATAGATCCCTAGCACTATATAAACACACACAAATAAAGAAAAATGGCAAAAATAAGGTGGAGAGAAATAGAGGAAGTCACCTGACATCAACCCCAGCCTTCCTATACACAAGCAAGCACACTGAACACACACACACACATAGGTGAGCATACACACGTGCACACACACAAGTGATCACACTTGAATACACATGTGCACACACAGACATATTCCACTAAGTTATAAGAGATTTCAAATGGAAAAGTCATTGCTTATTAGAAGAAAAATAATTCAATGTTTATACCTGCCTCTAATCAAGATTCAAAGTGCCAAGTGTGTAAATTCCAAATAAATACAAGATTTCATCCTCTCAGAGCACTCTCTGTTGTAATTTTAAGAGAATTAAGAGGAAAGTCAATGATAATCCTGAGAGTATGCTGATTATTAGAATAGTAAACAGAACCATTGAACATCTAAATTTGTGTGTTGCTCTAGGTAGAGACAGTTGGTGACAAGTACATGACAGTTAGTGGTTTACCTGAGCCGTGCATCCACCATGCACGGTCCATTTGCCACCTGGCTTTGGACATGATGGAAATTGCTGGCCAAGTTCAAGTAGATGGTGAATCTGTTCAGGTTAGTAAATAAATATTATGGTATTGGTGGTATAACTGGTGGATAAGTAATTCATATTCTTGTTTAGGAAGTCAGTAACGTGTAAGGAATAAAATCTTGACAATAAAGGAAAGATTGCATTAATTCTTTGATAGAAATGGGAAACACATTAGCTTGTTCGGTGTAGTGAAGGTCCTGAGGATAAGATAAAACTCCCCACTACTTCTGTTTTATTATTTCAAACCTTTATAAGTCTCACACAAGTTGCCCTGTTCATAGCTTTTCCATCTTCAATTCAAATATTGTTCAAAAGACAGAACTTTATTTTGGCAGAGAGCTATTTTGTGATGGTATTTAAAATAGTGTGCAATATACTAGTACTTATTTTAGAGAATTTTTATCATTGTATATAATGATTCTCTATTATTCTGTAACATGGAGTAGCCAAAAATGCATGTGCTAATGACCAAGGCAATTGAAGCAAAGTGTTGGTTTCTACAGATAACAATAGGGATCCACACTGGGGAGGTAGTGACTGGCGTCATAGGACAGCGGATGCCTCGGTATTGTCTCTTTGGAAATACTGTCAACCTCACAAGCAGAACAGAAACCACAGGAGAAAAGGGAAAAATAAATGTGTCTGAATACACTTACAGGTAAGTGGAGATGGCATGTTATTTACAGAGAAGTGTATGGGTGATCTGAGTGGTTTGGTTACCTTTAAACACTTGCCACTGCTGCACCTCCCCCTCTGCATTTGGAATTATGTTTTATTTGTTTCCATTTTAAATCAGTCCACATCACCCTTGGAGTTCCTGATATGATTGCTGGCACTAAACCTTGGGTGCCTTTAATTGCAACTGTGGTGTGGTGCACTGCTGTCTCAGTTCTCCGTACAACTGTTGTCTACTTCCCTCTCTACTCTGTCCCCTGGCTTCAGGTGTCTCATGTCTCCAGAAAACTCGGATCCACAGTTCCATTTGGAGCACAGAGGCCCTGTGTCCATGAAGGGCAAAAAAGAACCAATGCAAGTTTGGTTCCTATCCAGAAAAAATACAGGCTCAGAGGTATGGTTAATCAGAGCATCATTTTTATTTCTAAGGCAGGATATACAGTGGGAAGTTCAAACATAACCACCCCAAGTACACTACAGTTGAAAAGGAATTCTTGCTTACAGAGCTTAACTCCAGTAAAATGAGAGAAGTAACTGATGCACCGATGAGCCAGTCAGAACAATTTCTGTGTTGTAGAGGGTGCTTTAGGGTTCCTGGATTTTGTCTTGTAATGAGATGAAAACCAAAGCCTCAAGTTGAGCAGGACTGAAGTTTAGTTCTTTCTCTGTAATCCAGGTCCAGTTCAGATACAGCTGAGGTACTGGTTCCTGGGGGACTCATGAGGCTCTGTCTTCAGCCCCTGGTGTTCTTTCTGAGATTCTAGCAAGTCTGCACAAGGGGCACATTTTTCTTGGAGTTTTATTAAGCAAGAAGCTTAAGATCCTCTCAAAGAGCACAGATCTCCCTGCGGAGTGTTTGTGGATTTTTCAGCAATCCAGACCCTTGTAAGTTTCTTCTGGAGAGATGAGTAATTTCTGATTTTCCAGAATGGAAGCAATTCCTTAGGGAAGCTTTAGCTTCTCACAAGTGCTATGGCTGTGCCCTAGTAAGAACCCTTGGACTTGATAATACACAACCCAGCTGGAGTCCTGCCATACATGCACGACTGCACATCCCAAGTTATGCCCCTCTCCTCTTGTTCACAAGGGGTTATGTTAGAATTATGCATGGTGTTTTGTTCCTTTTTTTTTTCCTTTAATGTATTAACTCTTTAGAGGAAGTGAGATATTTGAACATGTATCTTTACATGTGTGCATACATTTCCTAAAAGTGCTTTTGTAGAGTATAGCAAATCTTAAAGGATACATCATAGATTTCCAACCTTTAAACATTTACCTTCCTTTAGCTGTTTTTACTCTATGTAATTTACTCAGAGGTTGGCATGCTCACGGGTGCCATTTCGATGAACCAAATGCTGTCTACTGTTGGTCTTAATAGTTGGATGCCACTAAGAATAATTTCATCCCAAAGTGGGATGGGAATGATTTATAGAAATTGTAGATATGAATGTAGATTTTACTGTCAGAGATTGGAAAATGTATTGGGGGAATTTTGTAAGCTTTATTATCATTGTAAATCAATGATATCTTTCTTCCACTTTTTTAAGGAAACAAACCAGGATGATAACTGAATCTCAGACTGTAGGACAAAGGAAACTGTCAGTTAGGTTCTGGTGGTTGCCCGATGTGTGCCAAGCCCAGGAGCACTTCTTCCCTGTGGATACTGAGGTCACCTGTCTTTTCCAATGGCCTTCAGCCTCTCCTCTTGATATATCTTGCACTATCTGTTATTTGATGCTAGCTCTGTTTTTGATTATTTTTAAGGTTTTAGTATATTTTTTAAAGTTTGGCTTTGACGTGGATCATTTGAGCTTCGTGTGTCCTAAATTCTACTACAAGCATTACCTAACTGGTGATTAGCAAGTGGTAGGCACCCAATAAGTATTTGTTGAATCTAATAAAATGAAACTGAATAGCATTTGGCCATACGTATGTATATCATGGCTCAGCATATTTGTTTAATGCTCCATGTATATGTATATGCATATGTATATTTTAATGACTATAACATAAAGACAAAGTTTATATCATGTTGGTGTATGTCATTCTAGAAACCATTTTCTAAAGGAGTGAATTCTAAGTTTTAGAAAAAATGCAATTTATTTTCAGACTTCTAAAATAAGAATTAGCATACCATACTAAGGAAAGAGTGACTATTTTGAGGAATGTTAATTTCCTTCTGAAAATAGAGAATACAGTTCTATTGTTAAAAACTTTGGCTGCTCATTTGAATGACATGACAATTACAGCTCCTCTGACGTGCCATCATTTATATCATCACCTTGTACTGAGGTTCAGGGACCACCACGGAAGCAGGGGTGGGGAGCTGAGTTGTTTCACACTGAACTGTTAACATTTACTTGGGCAAGTGCTAGGGGCCCTAACCCAACCAACGGAAGAACAGGCTGGAAACAGGTAGTTGGAATGCTGTTAGAGCCATCACTAGCCCTTTATGCCCAGAAATGAGCTTCCTTTTCTTAGCTTAGAAAAATTTTATCTTATCCAGACATCATGTTCAGAGAAGTCAGTTTAATCTCAGCATACAATGCATTTGCATTCCTATTGGAATAATTGGCCTGTTATCCTTCAAATGTCTGATAATTTATCGATATCTATCTTTATAAAATATAGTGCAACTACTTTTGTGTAAAAATGTTTGTCTTTAAATTTGCTATTTCTATCAGCACATCAATATGAGTATAAATGTTCCATGTTAATGTGTAAAAGAATCTGCAATAAATTATTTTTTCCACTTGTCTCTAGACAGCTTTTATTTTAATAAAACGATATTAACATCATTTTTAAGACATTTCATAATTTTGCTTGTGAGCTTTAAATTCATTTTTTTATTTGTTACTGTTATAATTTCTCTGTGCTGGGGGGCTGAAACCAGACCCTCACATATGCTAGGCAAGTGCTCTAACAGTGAGCTATACCCCTCACATATCCATGTTATGAACTTTTAATTTTTAGTGGTTCCTCTAAGGAATATTCTGCTTTATTGTTTATTTGTCTGAGACAGGATCTCACTCTATAGGCCAGGCTATCTTCAGACCCAAGCAATCCTCCTGCCTTAGCATGTCAAATGCTGCAACTGGATGCGTGTTCCACCATATCTGTCAGGAATATTCCCTAGCACTAACAAACAGGAGAAATATGCAGATAAATATGAAATGACACCAACTGAAAGAACCTACAGTCTTTGTGAGGCGGCTGGCATGCATACAAGTGGTCAATATATTTAATATTCAACATCTGGAAATATGTTTATGATAAAGGCTCCCAAGGAAATAATTGAGAAAAGAAGGTTAAAAAATACAAGAGCTATGTTGAGCTCTTACTAGAATTAATTACATATTTACTGAGGATTTCCTTCTGGCCAATGCTGGCTTAGGTATTTGGGGTGTACTGTAGTTTGTATTCAAATATCTCCCCCAAACCCCTGTGCTAATGGCTTGGTCCTCAGCTTGGTGCTGTTTAAGAGAAAGGCATAATGCCCAGTGTAAGGAAATAGTTTGGGGAGGGAGTGCCCATGAAAAGAATTGTGGGATCCCAGCCCTTCCTCTCACTCCCAACTGATTTCTTGTCTGACTTGAGGTGAGCTGCCACCTTTTCTACTCTGCCATTGCAAAAGTAATGGGCCAAGAGACCATGGACTGAAAATCTCTGAAATTGTGGTTCAGAGTAAAACTCTGCCCTTATTTTCCCAGTACAGTAGCAGAAAGCCAACACAGGGTACACTGATAAGCACAGCATCTCTGCCTTTGAAAACTTTACATGCCAAGTTTTATCTTTTTATTAAAATTTTTTATTGAATTTTTGTGTATTTCATACAGAACATCTCAATCGATCTGAATCGTCTTTATACACCTGTCCCCACTGGCACCCTCCCATAGGCTTCACCCCCAACTGGAATTAATACATTCTATCATTTGTGTTAAGGCCTATTGTGTCAAGTTATTTCTCTGTTATAAGTACACAACTCCCCTAACCCAAATAATAGCTAAATCTTCCTTTAAATTGTATATTTACCATCATTTCCCTCTCCATTCCACACTCCCAAATATCATTCCCACCTGAATTCACTTAATTGCTAGTCATTGTCTATATCCTGTAGCAAAAACAGATTGTGTCTTTAGCCGGCCTGATTAGCTAGCTGCTACCTTTTAACTTAGTGCCTTGCACTGTCTGGAAAGACCCTTTCCATATAATACTAGCAGACTGTTCTCTTCGTTACCTAGCTCAACAGCCTATCATTGGAGAGTGAAACTGCCTAGTCTATTGTCTCGCAGGACTTAAAATGTTTAGCAACTTGTCAATTTATTTCATTGTAAATTTCTTAAATCCAAAATACATCCTTTTCCCCTTGGTATTCCTTGAACCTATCACAAAATAAGCAGTTGACAAATACTTGTTGAATGAAGGGGCGGAGGGAGCAGTCACTTGGGGAGGGGGCAGAGACTAGGTTTGCAGGAAGTTGGAAAATATAATAGAGAAAAATGTGGGCTTTAGATAGGCATTATTAATCTATTATTAAACTGGTTCTTGGAGAAAATTGTGCTGTCATTGGTGTGGGGCTATGTTAATGGGAAAGATCTGGAGCAGGTGGATTAGGGAGTGTTTGTTTGTAATTCAACATGGGCTGCCTTTAAAGTGGTGGCAGGGCAGGAACTGATCCAGGTTCATAACTGAAAGTGTGTAGTAATATATGAGCTAAAGGGGTCCAGAAGGAAAAAAAGATAAATAGAAGACTACTGTTATAGTTGTAAGAGAAAACTGGTCAAGAGAATAAAATATCTGGCCTGGATGAAGACTCAACATTCCAGTATTGCTGTGTCAATCACCCAGCTGAAGGACCGCCCCCAGAACAGTGGGTTCACCTTAAGCCACACTAAAGAGATAGGTGGAATAACTTGAGCATTAATGGGATGGTGAACTTTTCCTACCCGAATCCCACCCACTAAGGCAGTCACATCCCTTCTAGCTGTAGACTTGTAGCTCTATAAGTTGAATTCAGGAAAGCATAACCTCTCCTTTTCTTCTTTCTCTTTTCCAAGCATACTTTCTCTAATACTTTGGGTACCCCAATATTTGGGGGTTCTTTACTCTTTCTTTAAAGCTCCACTCCCTGCCACATGGCTGCTAGCTCACATGGGTCTGACCTCCATTACATGGCATGGTTTCCCCTCTCTCCTCCATTCTTGTCTTCCAGGCAGGTGCTGAGATTTACAGATCACCAGCCCTGGGGGTTTTTCTATTAAACTCTAATAAAATTGTCCTGAAATGTCCATTTGAGTCCATTCTTAAATTCTTTTATTAATGAGACTAAGAACCCTAAGAGGAGGCTTAGGAGACTGTTTTCTCTTGCATCACTACTACTACCTGGTTACTTGGAAGATGATGCTACCACCAAATAGGGTGGAGGATCCTTAGGGGGAAGTGAGTATTTGGGAAAGATAATGAGAATATGAGACATGGATTTAAAGTGCTTGAGGGTACATTTAAGGAAGTAATGACCATTCTTTCAAGGTGACATGATGTGTGTAGAAATAAAGTTGGGCCTACCTAACTTCAGTTGCCAAATAATCTGTTACTACCCTGATAGAGATAAAGTCACCTGACCTTCCTGTGACCTGATCCCTTTATTGCAAAAACTAGTAATAGGAAAGCTAGTCACTAAAATTACTGGCAGATCTACTAAGATATTAATAAATCATAGAATTGGAACTTGGGTTCACCTTTTTGGGAATAGTAGAAACTTGATCCAAGAAATACAAATTCAATCATTGGTAATACATATTGTCAAGGCTAAAGCATAGCACATGTAATGAGAGTTAAGAGGCTCAACAAGCAAAACCCGTGGCTATGTTTGTATCTTTGTTGATACTCAAACAAGCTCAATGAAAATTTTCCCCAAATTAAACTCCCCAAATTAAATGTTTATCAGTTTGAATCCAAAAGATTGCATGAATTGATATAAACACATGCATATATTTCAGAACTAAGTATCTCATTTTGCTTAACACTATGATTGATTCTCCAAATACTGTGTTTTGTTTTCTCTGTCACTGAAAGGGGAAAAATAATTTCTTGCTGACTTTCCCTCCGCGTAGGTTTTCTTTCCCCTTTGTTTCCGTTTTTTACCATCCTTATTACTGGCCTGTGAGCCTCTAGAGGGCAGCAGAGAATGCTGTTTGGACTCAACCATGGAGAGAAGGGATTCACTAAGTTTCTCTGTAAGAAAAGTTCACGATTTGGCTATGGACTAACAGTACTGCTTCTATGCAACCTGAATTATTCCTACTCTTCCATAGATTCAAAGGAATGCCTTGAAAACAGTCATTTATAATCACCATGAATTATTAAATCTATTCCTACATATCTTGTTTAGAAATTCTGGCTAAATATTTCCTGCTGATTCTGTAGTAAGCGGAGTCAGTTTACCAAAACAAGCAGTTAGTGTTGTAAGTAAAAGTGCGGTGCTGCCGTAGCAAAGGTGCGCCTGCCTGGTATGTAAAGCTACAAAATATAAATGTGATGCTGTTTATTTAAAGAGTAATTGTGAAGACTCAATTTACATTTGTATTTTATCCTATTAAAGAGAAGGAATGCAGTGAAAATGAACAAGATGAAGCAGAAGCCCAACAGGTAATAAAGACACTTAAAAGTAATGACAAGGTCAGCTCTGTGGCCTTCACAACTCGATTTATTAGGATCTAGTTTTCTGATCGATTAAAATAAAAAGGGAGGGGGAGCTGGTCAAGATACTGTCTAGAGTTAACCCATGCTCCAAATTTCCGACATTTCTTTGATAAATGCCAGTACCCTCATGCTGTGAACTAGGTCTAGACTGTTTAGGAATAAGATCTAAAGCTGTAATTGCAGTAACTTCTATAGTGCAGGAACATTGAGTAGACAAATCATGGAAAAGTTTAAAACCTACCTCTTAGAAACAAGCATACCTGGTACAGACTCAGGCGTCGCTCCCTGCCCTCTTGTTTGAGACAGGGTCACTTGTTGGCTGGTCTGAGGGCTTCTGCGGCTTCCCCTGTCTCCACTTTCCCAGCTCTCTGTAGAAGCACTGTGATGTGCACTACCACATCTTCTGTGGGTTCTGGGGATTCAAACAAAGGTTGTCATGCTTGTACAGCAAGCACTGAACCTACTGAGCCATCGTCACAGCCCCTGATTGTCCATTTTGTTTGGTAGTGAAACAGTTACCCACCAAGTAAGTTTTGGATCATTAAGGAGAAAAGAGTCAATGAAAGGAAAGCAGTAACATATCCCTTAAAATCCATTAATGCTTTCCCTTATGTGGTTTCTCTCCCTCACATAAATAAACTTCAGTGGAATCACCCATCCCCATAAACATAATACAATCATAAAACTCTGTAGAAACAGTATGCCTCAGCCAGCCTTGTGATTGTGTGGTATGGAGTGTATGGGTACAAATAACAGAGCTGAAATTTCTTCATTTTTATCTCAGTGTGTGCTAAGGCTGCTACGAGTCCTCTATTTCCTGGGCAATGAGAGCTGTGGTGGTTTAAATGAGAAATGCCCCCCATAGGTTCATGTCTTTTGAACACTTGGTCTTGACTTGGTGACAGTACTGTTTGGGAGGTTTAGGAGGTGAAAGTTGCAGGAGGAAACATGTGACTGGGGTGGGCCTCAAGAGAGCATAGCATCATCTGTCCCACTTCCAGTTTCCTCTCTCTACTGCGTCTGCCACTGAAGATGTGAGCTCTCACCTTCTGGCTC